AAAAAATACGATATAGTGTGTTCCGTAGAACATTATATGTCATTCCTAGCGATCTGAATGACACTTTTGCAAGCTTAGGAGAAAAAGGCAACTTTTCTGGCACCCAACTAATGAGATAATATCATTTTAATATACGAAAAAGCGACAAAAGCTTTTCAGATGCTTCTATAAACACAACGGCTGCCTGTTCCTCCCTGTCTAGGCAAACTCTTTTCGTTAAGTATACATAGATGTACAAATGACTTGAGAAGGAAACGATCTTTTTGCAACCATATAGACAAAACATAGACTCCGTGTGATACAACCTGTTTTCAAAATAATACTGGAAGCACAGACCTATTCGCTTCCTTTGTTAGTTTGAGTGCAGCGTCTCTTTGTTTGTACCAATCCTCTAATTCTTTTTTTGCTGCTGCACGCAACTCGTTCTTCTTCTTCTCCTCCGCTTCATCTAAATTTACATCACTCTGCTTAACTTTGTTCAACTCCAAAGGGCAATTCAAGCAAGTCACAATGCGTTCACTATTAAACCGATGCTCCGAAATTTTTCTGATGCACTAGGTTGAGCCTCTACTTTTCGTCTATTTTGCAGGTGCTCTAAATTCTGCAAAAAATTGTCAGTAATCTCAAATCTTTATCACTGCCATGTCACTTCTACTACATAAAAATTAGTACATGTTGCGCAGAAAAGGATGAGCTTATTTTCTATAGATGAACTAAAATAGTACAACACATAGTAGTAACTGCCCTGGCTCTAAGATTTCACAAACCAGTTAAAAAATCCTAGATTGCTTACCTTTTTTCTCCAAAAGTATTTTCTGCTGCTCTCGCCATCTACGAATATTTTCAGCCTCAATGCGTGGAACAGGGACTGGAGAGGGCCCTTTAGAACTTGCAGCTGACTGGTGACTATTGACACCATTTCCATTTACGAGCGGAACTGTAGAAAGGACGTTAATCGCTCATTGGGGGAATGATCAATACTAGTGTGCAAGACAAAGCTGTTCTTCTCGAGTATATACCAAGAAATAAAGAAATGAAAAGCAAAGAAACTCCACCAGGTGGGGTCGGCTGATAGTCCATTCCGGCAAGATCAACACCCGAATCTCCACCACCTACAGACGGGGGATCTATCAACGCTGCAAGGTCATCAGCTGCAAGAGCAGCAGCTTGCTCTGGCACAGCTGAAAATGATACTAATTAGTTACTTAATTTACAAAATCTGAGCGATTAAAGATAGAGATGTGAAGAAAGCCATGAAAGAACATACCCGCAGGCGCGACTGGTGGCCCTCCAACTGGTGGTGCTCCATCGATTTCTGCGAATAAATCTTGTTCTCGGGCCAAAAAGTCTGCCACTGGATCCGCCATCCTACTGCAAAACAAAAATGCTAGAATTGGCTAAACGGAAAAGAAAGTGAACAACGAAGTCAAAATAAAGGTCCTCTCCAAAAAGAGAAGAGAGAACCCCATATATCGCTGATAATGAAGATTTAGAAGACTACTTCAAAACGGAACGTCAATTCGTCAAAATCCGGAAACTATGGGGGTGACAGCAGAGCCGCGCCGCAGCCGCGCTGCCAAAGCCGCCCTGATTCAGGGGCATCGCCGCGAAGATGGGTGTTTGAAATCACTCG